GTGGTATCAGTTCCAGAAACTTCTGCCTCGAGCTCCCCTCTACATAATTCGCATCAACATCTCGACTCCTTCAATATTCTGCACCTGCGTCTTGGTTTGTCGCTTGTATAGTTCTGTTCCAGCTTGAGCGCTATAATTTGTAAGTATTCACCATCCTTTACCAACCCTTGAATGATGAGACACAAGCTGGCACCAGTCTGAGAAGACTTGTACTCTTTATATGCGGATCAGCTGCTTAGACTTTCGAGTCGCCTTCTGACAATCTCCCACTACACGTGTACTTCTACATAGTATGAGAGGCCGAAGCTAACAACTTCCTTACAGAGATAGAACCAGATCGAGCGCGCCGCCGAACATCGCCATGGTCCTCCACAACCCGAACAACTGGCATTGGGTCAACAAGGATGTATCAGGATGGACGCGCGAGTACCTTGACAAGGAGCTTACGCAAATATCGGCGGAGCAAGATGGCGTCACAGCAAAGATCGATAAGGTCGTTAGCATGGATGGAGACGTAGACGTCAGTCAGCGCAAAGGCAAAGTTATCACCATCTTTGACGTGAAACTGAAGCTCGAATACTCAGGTACGTCCTTTCTCAGCTGCCTTTCTTGATCGCGCTGACTCGGTCGGCAGGCAAGAACAAAGAGGGCGAGGAGGCCAGCGGCACCATTACCGTCCCGGAAGTCGCTCACGACACGGAGGAAGACGAGTATGTCGTATGTTCCCTTCGCTGGCACCTTCCTTCGTTTCTCCGCACCCGCCAGTGTACACAGTCACTAACAACCTGTCACAGTTTGAGGTAGACGTCTACTCTGATGAAGCCAGCAAACAACCTGTAAAGGACCTAGTACGATCCAAGATCCTACCGCAACTGCGTACAAGCTTCACAGGGCTTGCACCAGCGGTCATGGCGGAACACGGAAAGGATATCCAGCATGCGCCAGGCGCGAACCCTGGTAGCGGCTTCTCGGCCCCAAAGGTATATTCGAGCTCAAGTGTGAACAAGTCCACTTCGCAGACGGAGGCATCCGGCTCTCAAAAGAGCAGCTCTGGTGCAGTCGTCAATGTGACCACCATCACCGACAGCACAGAGTTCCGCACAGATGCGGCCAACCTCTACCAGACCTTCACGGACCCCCAGCGCATCGCTGCGTTCACTCGGGCACCCCCGAAGAATTTCACAGGCGCAAAGCCTGGCGGTACCTTTGAGCTCTTCGGCGGAAACGTCAGTGGAGAGTTCACCGAGCTCCAAGAACCCACACACATCGTCCAGAAATGGCGACTTGCACAATGGCCTGCGGGACACTACTCGACACTGTCGATATGGTTTGATCAAAACGATGTTGATGCCGTGACGGTTATGAGGGTCGAGTGGAAGGGCGTACCAGTTGGTCAGGAGGAGCCCACTAAGACCAACTGGGACCAGTACTACGTCCGAAGTATCAAGACGACCTTCGGTTTCGGTACAGTATTGTAGATGAGCGTCTACTTCAATTGCATCCCAGCATGACATGGAGTAAGAGGCGTTGGAGGACTTGACGATTGCATACGAAGTGACGGATACGAATACACAACGATTGTAATGGCATGAGCCCAATGAGATATGTTCTGAACAAAGATTTCGACTTGCGTGGCGTGATGTCTCCTTTATCGTGGAAGTTTAAGCCGTCTTGTACGATGATTACACCGAAATGACTTATGACGCGGCGCCGAAGAAATGAAGGCTGACGGTGGGTGTTCGGATAGTCGGTGCTAACTACCTGCCCGTAGAGGATTAGATCGGCTGCCACTATCGCCATGACCGCTATCAAGCCATGCAAGCTTGCACAAGCTCTTGCCAATGCACGCTTGGGTTGAATAGCGGGGTAGCTTTCCGCGGCTTCTTACTCAATTGACGAGCTTCGGTCAATTCATGGTCTCTGTTCGCCCGAGTTGGACTTTGTATGTATAGGTTGCCTGAAAACAATCATTTCACGTATAACTTCAGCGATGAACCTACTTCGAAGGCATTCTTCAAACATGTTTCGCGCGTCGCGAATAACAAACCGCAAGTACCGAGCTACACCATGACGTCGCCGGTACGAGCAACAGGCTACGAGGATAGCTACAACCCCGGCCTACGGGACCGAGATGAGCAACTCGTTAGCCTGGATGGGAAGGTGAGAGCATGTGGCTATCGCGACTGCGGGCCTTTCTAGTTCGGACCTACATAAGCTTCTAGAATAAAAAGAAGCAGTTGCTCGTCATGCTGCTCTTTCTCTGCTTACCTTCGCTCTTCCCAACTCACAGCCATTGAATCGGATCAGCTCGTCGCCTCGAAGACTTGCAACGAAACCGACATTAACGATGAAGAGCGCGACAGGCAAGCTTCTCGCCGCGCCTTTGTTGGCTGCTGGTACCCTTGCGCAGTTTGTTCCTGCGCCGAAGGATCTTATTACTAAAGAGGGTTATGCGAATGTCAGTGTACGGTACAAGGAGGTACCTGCTGGCATCTGTGAGCTCGACCCCAGCGTGAAGAGCTACAGCGGTTACGCGGATGTGGCGGAGGATCAGCATATCTTTTGGTGGTTCTTTGAGGCGCGCAATCAGGATCCGACTGATGCGCCGTTGACAGTGGTAAGTTCAGACGACTTTCGGAGCATGATTTGAGATACCACGAGCTCCTTCCCAACATCATCTTCCCAACATGATGGAATCATACTGACATTGTTTCAGTGGATCAATGGAGGCCCAGGCTCGAGCTCCATGATCGGTCTTTTCCAGGAATTGGGACCATGTGGTATTGGCCCAGACATGAAGCCGTTCAACAACCCGTACTCGTGGACGAATGCAAGCAACATGCTCTTCATCGATCAGCCAACGGACGTCGGTTTCTCGTATTCGATTCCTATCCCCGGCTACAAGGACGGCAGCACGATCATCCAGCTGCCGAACGCGACCTGTCCAGACTACGCTCAGAACTATGGAACATGCGGCACATACTCCAAGCCCGACCATACCTTGACCGCCAACAGCACAGAGGGCGCGGCGCCGAATATGTGGAAGACGCTACAAGGATTCATGGGTGCCTTCCCCCAGTACTCGCGCAACGGCTTCAGCTTCACCACCGAGAGCTACGGCGGCCACTACGCGCCCGTCTTCAACGCCTACTTCCTCGACCAGAACGCGAAGAACATTACCGGCGCACACAAGATCGAGCTCGAGAATGTGTTGATCGGTAACGGATGGTTCGATCCGCTTGTCCAGTACCAAGCCTACTACAACTATACCGTCTTCCCTGGCAACACCTACGACTACGATCCGTACAACGACACGGTCAAGGCTGAGTGGTACAACAACCTCTACGGCCCTGGAAACTGCGTAGACCGGACTAAGCAATGCTACGAGACTGGGATCAACTCGGTCTGTGCCGCCGCAGATGACTTCTGCTACTCCAAGGTCGAAAACCTCTACGACATCTACAGCGGACGCGACGAGTACGACATGAGGTTCCTGACGCCGGACCCGTTCCCCTATGACTACTACAGTGATTATCTGAACCTACCGGAGGTGCAGCAAGCGATTGGCGCGTTCCAGAACTTCTCCCAGAGTGCTAGCACGGTCTCTGCGGCATTCGGCAACACGGGTGATGACGATCGCCCATCGGGTACGATTGCTGCTTGTCAGAAACTGCTCGATGCTGGCGTTCAGGTTATGCTGTACTACGGTGATGCGTGAGTATCTTGGGCTCTTCGTAATGATATCTTGCTAACAACTCCCAGCGATTTCAACTGCAACTGGCTCGGTGGTCAGGTCGTCGCAGACATGATCAATGCAACCGGCTACTCTGAGGCTGGATTCACCAACATTACTACTAGCGACGGCATCGTTCATGGCCAAGTCAAGCAGGCGGGACTTTTCTCCTTCCTCCGCATCTACGAGTCTGGCCACGAGGTACCTTTCTACCAACCTCTCGCGTCCCTTGAGATCTTTGAGCGCGCGCTGAAGCAAGTCGATATCGCGAGTGGTAAGGAGAAGTGCGACGACGGTTACCTGAGTGTGGGCACACCCACGAGTGACTACAGAGAGGGTAATGCCACGATCCAGTTCGAGGTGACACCTGCGAATGCAACATACAACACGGCGCTCAACGGACCAGACCCGGAGCCTACCTGGGCGGCTGGTGAGGAAGTCGCGAAGCGGGCAGAAGTGAGGAAGCGGAATGTTGGGAAGCTGGGAAGGCCAAAGATGTCGAGGGGCGGCAAGAGGCCTGCTTAGTGAGATGTTGAGAGGGTAGAATCGGCTCTAATGCATCTTCACATGAATGTTGAATAAAAAAGCACATGTCATGCCATGGTCTTATCGCTCGTCTAGGCCTATAGTGGGGTTTGTAGTATGAAGGAGCTCCAACGTCATCAGCGTCTGATTGTCAATCATCGACTTTGCAGTGAAGCGGCCTCATGCGCCCTTTTGCTGGATCAGCGCATAGCACCTGTGTGGGACCGAGCTCGCGCGGGTTCAGAAAGTTTACGCGAAGCCGTTGCAAGAGCGTTCCAGTTGTCGCGGTGGGGAGGGAGTGGTGCGGGAAGACCCCTGCTAGCGGGTGTGTCGCATGAACCTTGGTGTTGGGAGAGGAGGTCGCATCAGCATTCACGGGCAGCCACGCCTGAGCAGTACGACGACAACGACGCGCCCTTCCCACAGGCTACACGAGACGGCCACGACACTCGGCACTTGGCTGCCCTGCTCTGCTACCGCGAAGCCGCAATTGACGTCGTCGCACCTCGCCCGCTAGCATTCCGAGGCTGTACTACGCCGGAATCCCATCACCAACTTTTCCAATCAGCGGCCCATCGCCCCAACGACGCCGCCGCACGCTTCTCCCCACCCGGTCATGGTGCGCTTCGGTGCATGGCCTCGCTGAGAGGCACGACAACCGCCCGAACCAGCGCCGCCCGGCATCGACTCTGCGTGCTAGAAGCAGCGCGACAGCGGCCGCGCGGCGACACGAAACACAACCATGGCGCCGTCCGGGACTTCAATGTTCTCCAAGCTCAGGCCCGGCCATGCGAAGCGCAATGCCTCGAGTCTCGCCTCGCCCGAGCCCGTCCCCAGCCCCAGTCCCGCCGCACCTCCTCTGCCCTCGCCGTCGCAGACCACCGAGTACTTGTCCTCGCCGCGCTTCAACGACAATGCCAGCTATACTTCCGGCTCGCCCATATCGCCCTATCCGCCCCAACTGCCGCCTATTGCACGCGTCGCCTCCAAGCTGGACAAGGCGGCTTCGCCTAATAGCTCCCAATATACCGCCAGTCAGCATTCGGGGAGTACTGGGGGGAGCAGCAGTAAGATGGCGCAGGGATCGCAGCTTGCTCTCCCCGCCCCAGAGGACACAGGACCACTTCTCCCCCGCCCATGAGAATAAGCCCCTCTCTGCGCGCTCACATAGTGGAGGCTCTCCCTTGCCACAGAGGACAGAAGCCGTCCCGTCGTCTGAGACGCCTCCCCAGTCATCCTCCCACCTGGCGCCCTCTGTCATCTCTCCCAGCTATTCCAACTTCTCCAAGTCGCAGACGTCGCTGCTGAGTGGCATCAGCGACAAGCTCACGGGCAGTTCCAAGGGCACTTCAACCCCAACGGCAGCCCCCAGCAAGTCAAAATCGAGACTGACCCTGCGCAACCCCATGTCGCTCCTCATGCGACGCAGGTCTGGACAGACTCTGGATCCTCTCGCCGATGAATCGCTCGTTACCCAACGCTCGCCCTCGAATGTTCCCCCCATGCCCGATAACTACGACCCCAGCATCCGCGGAAAGATCGTACATGACTTCAATGCGCCGAGACTGAACAGAGGCTACTCATACAACACTGCGGCAGAAGGAGGGGACAGAGGGCAGAGATTGGTCGTGCCAGCCCGCCAAAGATAGACAAAGAGCATACACCAGTGTTCCGTGAGCACTTTGACGACGACACCAGCTACGAGCAGTCGCAAGCTGCTATACGAGCAGAGCAACTGGTGAACAAGGACTTCCTCGCAAGAAACTCGTACAATTTCTCCGCCTGAGCGCTCAGCACCTCCCCCGCCGCAACCCAAGAACTCGCCGCCGCCGCCGCCTCCACCGCAGTCGTCCCCATTGCCTCCACCACAACGTCCCCACTACCTCGACCGTCGTTCCAAGGATTCGACAGCGGCTCTTCGTCTTATCCCGTACAGTCAGAGAAGAGAATCCGCTGGACGTGTCTACAGATGTACCCCGCGGAAAAGAAAGTCCGACCAAGTCG